TTGCACTTTTGACACTCTCACTTGGATAATTAATATACAGAGAACACAAACAGAACTTCTAACCTTTACAAATTCCATTTTCCCAAGCAAAGTCCATATTATTGCCAAGAGAACCCATATCTCCATGTAGTCATCAGGACTTGCATTCAGCTCAAGAGAATCTAGACCATATATTTAAACAACTAGTTAATTCTTATAATCTAATAATATTGGATTTTTATTTATTTATTTATTATTAAATTAATATATCTTGTTTTAACCATTATGGAGCAGAGTGGCATGCAACCTTTAAATAAGCATGTCAAGAATTATGCTGTAAATAACTGAGCAATAAGTAAAAATCTGCTGAATATATTGGAGTTAGTATTCTAAAAAAGTCATCAATTTTGTCTTCTCACCTCCATCATATACTAAAGAACTTCTCATTTAACAACACTGTTGGAGAAATCATTCACTTGAATGAGCATGGAGAATTTACTGTTGGGTTTGATATTACAAATGTAATAACTTTTCCTAATAAATCCTTTGTTAGAAGAAAAGTTGGAAAAATGAATCCTTGGTTGGGTCAAGGCACAGAATTCAGTGTCAATGGGGATTCTATCATCTGGCCCAGCAACTTTAATCAGGTGGGAATTTCTTGCCATTTTTAGAATCAATCATTCATTTATAAAAGATTTTCCATTCTTTTTAAGGGGACCTTATTATACAATTCTTTGCATGTTTATCAGCTAACTAATCCTACCTAATGAAAATCACCAGGTTTGAGTAAGATTTATAGCAGCCATACAAATAGTGGATCCATTGGCAATTTAAATTAATATTGATTGTTTTACAAAATTCACAGAGTGTACTCTAAATTGCTACATGTAGCTGTGATGACTGTATTGGATACATAAGCTGATGGAAAGCACATTAGAAAACATAATGCCTCCAAAAATTCAATTCTTCTCAAATCCAAACAAACAACATTCAGAAAAGTGGTGTTTTCATATGATGAGATGCCATATTTATTTTCTTTAAAACCAAACATCAATAAATAAAAATTATTTATTTCTCAGTGGTATTATCTTCATCCCACTCATACAGGTAATGCCCCTTTCTCTCTGCAATCCCATCTGTCCTCCTGGTTGTCATAAGAAAAAAAAGGAAGAGAAGCCATTTTGCTGCTATGATTGTGTTCCATGTCCAGAAGGAAAGGTTTCTCCCCAGACAGGTATAATATTTATAGTCCATGGTATTATCAAGCCTTCTGCATACATCAGTTCTGATAAAAGAGAAATGAGAAAACAGTGACACTTTCCTTCATCCTTAAATTGTCTGTTTACACTGGCATATGTTTAAATAGTATCTGAACAATTCATTGAGAACTATCACATTCCATTGTTCTGAATATCATTCACTTTATTCTGGAATTTTGCTTCAGTACATTTTGCTGGGGTCTCTTAGAATTCTTATCTTAATTCTTAACTTCCCAATTGAAGGTATCACCAGATATCTAAGTGCTTTTAAAATATTCCCATTCCTCCAGGCTCTGTGGGCAAAGTAGTACTGTGAGCAACATTTGGAGGGGGAAACGGGGTATCATTAAATTTGTTATGGCTTCAACACACATGGATAATCATATCAGTTAAGAGTCTGATTCCCTCAAAGAGTATCAAGAACATACCTTGGCAGATAGTCTGCAGCTGAAAAATGGAACATGTAAATCTGTTCTGACAGTTCAATTATTCTTTCCTATAGACGTGGATTCCTGCAACACCTGCCAAGAAGATCATTATCCAAACAAGGAACAAAATCAATGCATTCCTAAGGTGTTTTCCTTCTTGTCTTATGAGGAGCCTTTGGGGATGGGCTTAGCTATTTCTGCATCTTTCTTTTTTTCCATCACAGTTTGGATATTATGGATTTTTATAAAGTATCGCAACACTCCTATTGTCAAAGCCAATAACAGGAGCCTCACTTACACCCTCCTTGTCTTCCTTCTGCTCTGCTTCCTGTCTTCATTGCTCTTCATTGGCCAACCTCAGAATTTGACTTGTCTTTTCCGGCAAATGGCTTTTGGAATCATCTTTTCTGTGGCTGTTTCATGTGTGCTGGCAAAAAATGTTACTGTGATTGTGGCTTTCCTGGCCACCCAACCAGGATCTGGAATGAGAAAGTGGATGGGGAAAAAACTAGCCAATGCTATAATTCTTTGCTGCTCTTCTATTCAAGCAGGGATATGTCTTATCTGGCTGGCTACTTCTCCCCCATTTCCTGATTTGGATATGCACTCAATGGCTGAGGAAATTGTGTTGGAGTGTAATGAAGGCTGGGCTGCTCTGTTCTATTGTGTCCTGGGCTACATGGGATTCCTGGCTTTTGTCAGCTTCCTTGTGGCTTTCCAGGCTAGGACATTACCTGACAGTTTTAATGAAGCCAAGTTCATCACCTTCAGCATGTTGGCCTTTTGCAGTGTTTGGTTATCCTTTATTCCTACATACCTGAGCACCAAGGGAAAATATATGGTAACTGTGGAGATCTTCTCTATCTTGGCTTCCAGCATTGGGCTGCTGGCTTGCATCTTTTTCCCCAAATGCTACATTATTTTGCTGAGGCCAGAACTGAACAAAAGAGATGAAATAATAAAAAGAAAAAGATAAACTCCTAAGTAGTTAAACAAGAAATCAAAGAGGGCTTCAATCATAGATCATAAATATAATAACAGTATAAGCTCCAATTTAATGATAGTTGAACCTTGTCAGAAGAAGAGAAAATCAACTGTTTGTCAAACTCAAATAACTGTTGATGCAAAGCAATCTTTATGCCCTTTAGTGCCAGAAGATCCAAACATGGTTAACCCCAAATGTGGTAAATGTAAGAATGTCATTACTGAGCTGTTTAATATACCCTGGAATCCTAACCCTGTGCCCAAAAAATTGGCCTTCAAAAATTACCCACAACCTAAATGAATATTATTTCAATTGGAATGGAAATTGCATTTTGTTCACTTGATCCAACACTTAATTCCATCAATTACTATAAATATGATTAGTAAGGTTGAGTACCTATTTTAACTATTTTAAAGCAAAATCAATTTTTACATTTAAAGCAATAGAAATGGCAGATAGTATATTCAGTCTCAAGGATTCCATATATTTAAAAAATCTGTCATAGTATCTTGTTTTTACAAAATACAGCCAAGTAAACATCAACCCTGCAAACATAAAGACCAGCCAATCAATTCATCAGGGAAAATAATAAACCAGGCAAATCAAGCAACAAAACCTAATAATGTAATGCTTGCCCCTGACATGGAAGCAAATGGTACAACAAGAGAAACAAAGTTGCAGAATAGATCTAATACCGAGTCTGATTCAAATTGGCAACAAATGAGATACATGGAGGACAATGAATTAGGTGGTAACCCAGACAATCCAGTGGCCTTCATAAGGTACCCCAAGTCCATCCAAAATTCACCAGTGTGTAATTCTAGAAGTAGGAATCATTGTGCTATTTTTGACAAGGAGGGAATATTAAATCACATTGATGTTGAAAATGGACTATTTCAGAATATAGCCCTAAACACTTCACTTTGAAAATAATTTCCTGGAATATTGCTGGTTAGGTTAATAAGTGTAATGATATTTCTTTCACTCAATATTTAAGTTATTTTGATATTATTCTGTTACAGGAAACTTGGGTGCACAATCATTTTTATCTTCAGGGCTTTATTCCATTTGTTGTAAAGGCTTCTAGAACTTCCAAAAAAGGGCATAACAATGCAGGCTTAGCAATCCTTTTCTCAAGTGCTTTAAAGCATAAACAACCTTAGTAGAGCTTTATGAAAAATATGCTATTACAATCCAATTAAAATTAAAGCATTTTGATTTAATAATTATAAATATTTATCTTTCACCAGTTGAAACACGATTCCAAATTAAACATATTTGGACAGAATTGGAACAATATATATACAATCTGGTCTTAAAATTCCCCATACACATTTTGTGATTCTGAGTGATTTAAACACCAGAATTGGTCCTAATAATGAAGCATTGGTAGCCAGGTTCCCTTATTTATCTGCCAAACCTTGGGGAAGTAGATTGTATGACAGACAGGCTAAAGATCAGAACATCAATTATGTTGGTTCTTGTTTAATCAGACTTTGTAATAACTTACATCTAATAATTTTAAATGGTATAATGGTACATGATCATCCTGGTGAATTCACGTTTACTTGTGGGTGGGAAGCAAGCGTGATAAATTATTGTTTAACATTGTCTAATTCAATTTCCTTGGTAAGATTATTTAATGTCAGCTTTAGATCAGAAAATAATCATCAACCTATAATTTTAAGTTTGTTAACTAATGATAAAGATGTTTGTCTGACATTATTTTCCGGATCTTCTTCAAGCAGGCAATTTATATTGCAGGATTTCTTGGGCAGAACATTTAAATAATTATTTAGTTACATTTTTAAATTACTCCACTTAAGATTTTAGATCATGTATAATAAAAGAAAAAAATAATTTTGTTTAATATTCTAACAGCTAAGAAAAAATTAAGAGCTCTATATTTAGCATTTAGAAAGTTTAATTTACCACAGCCTCCTTTAAGATATTATGAAATGAAGAAAAAATATAAAATATGCAAATAAACTATTTATGGATTTTCCTTAATAATTGGTATTTGTTTCTAATGTTGCAGATAATAAAACATGACACATTGCACCATTTCCTGAGAACATGACTTGGAACACTGTAATTATATCAAATGAATACATTTTACCCTTCCTCTGACAGTCCCGTGCACATTTTCTCAAGCCAGTGAATACCTTCAGTTGCAATATCTGAAAGTTTATATAAAATATTATGGTGCACTTAAAAGTAAAATAAATAAATAAATAAAGGCTAGAATACAAGCAAAATGAAGTCCATCTGATATATTACTTTATCAGAAAAATTGAGTATTGCTGTATCTGATGAGTAATTTGAGAATTTATCTTGATCTAAAATTTTGTAATCTAATTTGCTTTTTTCAGCCTAACATTTTGATAATAATCTGCTTATTTGGATGAAGCACCCTGACTTTTATATTGCAGTTCTGTGTTCAAAAAGCATAGCTATTGTATTGTATTGTATTGTATTGTATTGTGTTTTATGTTTTATGTTTTATGTTTTATGTTTTATGTTTTATGTTTTATGTTATTATTTTATTTTTTATTTTTTGAAATAATGCAACCATAATATGTATTTAGGGAGAATGCATACATTTAGAGACATCCAAAGAAAAATTCTTTTATTAAAAATGTGGATAGCCTAATGCAGATTGAACACTGGCAAAACAGGAAAAGTCAAGAAATAGACACAGCTCTGGACAGTGCCTTAAAACAATGCATGGCATGGAAAGGGTATTTCTGCTGCAGCTTTTCCTTTCACAACTGCCCCATCCTGTCCTTACTAAATTCAAAGCACAAAAAAATCTGCTGTATGAGTGACCCCTTCCGGTTCCCATATGAACACTGCAAAACAGGGGATATAATAATCAGAGGAATTGCTACACAGTTTGACTGCCTCAATGAAATCAGCTACTTCAATGAACATTCTGAAACAGAGGTTGTAGATGTAAGGACATTTTTTTCATCTAGAGGTGCCAGTGACTAGAAGTAGGGAGTTAAGTATCCAAGCCAAGAACTGTGACTATTCCAAATGATCTAGTTCAGAAAAAAGCCTGAAAAAGAGTTTTTGAAACTAAGTTTATTGTTAGTCTTACAGAATTAAATTTTAATTCACTTCCTTCTATATTATGTTTCTATATGGTGCCAAATTCTGTTTTTCTCTCTCTTGATCATTCATTATTCCACGATTTCATTATCCCACCATAATGATAAGAGTTACTGTGCACAACAATGCATTATGGCCTGATTTAAGTAACCAGAAAGCTATTCATTGTAATAGGGAAAATTTAATTTATTTGCTTCACCTTTTTGTTAGAAAAAAGTACTAAAGACCACAGGATGCATTTGTTTTCCCCAACCTCAAGAAAAAACAATGAACATTGGATCCCCACCCTTCCATGTTTGAGTCTATCTCCTTCCAGGGTTGGGAGGATCTACTACAGTAGGGAGCAGAGAGAGAAACCCTAACCCTAACTGGAATAGCTTAAATAGGTACGGCCAAAGTGGAGGAAGGCACTAAAATCAGGAAAACTGGTTTCATTTTCAACCAGTTTATGAATGGGAGTTAAGCCCTAAGTGAAGAAAGCATGGTCAGTTCTTAACTAGTTTCTATTTACTAAAAGGGTATGCTTTTAATAAGAGGAATGAAACAAGCTTTCTTAGAATGATTTTTATTTGCCATTGTTGATTATCTTACTGAAGCACATACTTGATTCATACTGATGTATATGAGTTTTGCTAATAATCAGCAATAATTTGTTACACTGATTTGATTTTAAAAAAAAATAAAGAAAAGAAGAATCACCAGAGCTTCAGAAACTTGACTTCATAAGTTGGAACTTCTGCCGATTTTATACTAAGCACTACAGTGCTGGTTGTGGTGACCTTTTGGGGGGGGGGGCATCTGAACTGCAACAGTCTTGAAGCTTCTTGCAATGTTTGTGAGGGCCTCCTTGTACTTCCTCCCTCTGGCTACAAATGAAAAGATGAGTTTTCAGAACATTTGAAAACTTCTATCCAGCTGGAAAAGGATTGTGCCAAAATTCAGTTGTAATAAACTAAATCATCCAATTGCTGTAAGTGGAGGACTTGATTGTGACCTTTCACTTCACATGGCTACTATCTTGGGAGTCTATAAACTTCCATGGGTAAAATAGGACTATGGGTTCTGACTATGGGCTCTTTATTGTTACTGTTGTTGTTCAGTCATTCATTTACTTCTAACTCTGTGCTCTAATGAGATCATTCCACCAGATTTTGTTTGTTTGTTTGTTTATCTGTGAGTAAGTAACTCACAGATAAATAAATAATCCTCCATACCAAACCATAAAACCAAAAACCTTCAGTGAGTACCATTTCAGAAACCATCAACTGCTTCTGGAAACATCTTCCAAAGTGTCACCTGAGATCCTGTCTGCTACTTCAGAATCTAAGTACAAACCCTGGGGGAAGACAAGTTGCATGTGCAATCCCATAGATATGTAAATTTAAATAACAATAGCAATAATAAATATAGCAATAGGTTGACTCAAAAAGAATAAAGCCAAAAAATCTAAGCTGTAAAAATCTGGATGACCAGTATGTGGAAACAAAAATTAGTTGCCATCTAATAATCATATAGATTTTTTTCATCCAAGATATAGTACACCTAAAAAAGACTTTTTAAACAGTTGCATTTGTGTTAGAGGCATTTGCTACATTTCTATGTCAATTTCTTTCTTGGTTGTGTAGTCACAGTCCAGGTATTTTTTGTTGTGTGCATGATGTACTCTGTATTTTAATGGATGATCAGGAATAACATAAAATCATTCCCTCAAATTGGTATTCCAGCTATGGCATGAATAAGGTTGACAAAGTACAAAATGGGCAAAATTAAAAAAAAAAAAAACGGTAAAATAGAAGGGAAATTAGACAAGGAACCCTAGGTAGAAAACTACTTAATTGAACAATCTTTAGTTGCCCGTTCCAAAATATATATGATTTCCCAAAAAATTTCTACCAGTTTAGATGAAGACTAGTCTTATTTTTTATTTTTATTTTTATTAATTTTGGAACATGTTGGTGAACCAAACCCCAGGATTTTCTTGATATTCCAGATTTTCATTTTATTCTAGACACATTGTTCACCTTGGAGTATGTTCAGAGGTGGCATCTAAAGTAGAATAATATCTACTTGCTAATTATTCTGACCTTTCAGCAGGGCTCTGTCCTATTGACCACAGTATCATGAAAATTCTGGAACAAGTTGACTGAGTGTGCTGTCATCCATGTGTTAATGACACTTTGTTATTCCTTTTGAAATGAATAGGGAGGGTCTGCCCTGAATGATAATACATACTGTAAATCATGCTTTATGTGCTGAGTTACAAAACACCTTATTTCTTCTCTGCATATTGATCTAAACACCACAGAGATCCAGAGAAGCTCATATCATAACTCTTTTGAAGCTCAGAATGATAAACTAAAGTATCCTTCAGGTCCACATTTTCATCCATTTCAACAATTTTCTCAGCAGGTAAAAAAAAACAAAAAACCCTTCAGCCACTACCTCAAGGGTTAACCAAGTCCTTTTTACATTCTTTTCAGATTGTACTATCCTTTACAGAACTCAGCTAAGGATTATGTCATTAGGAGTGCATCAAAAATTGGAAAAAAGGTAGTGGTTTCTGTGCAGCAATAATACAATAATTTAATCTTATTCTAGATAATTACAAACTGACATTTCTGTTTAAATGTTTCTCTTTATCAACTGTTCTTTGACATTCAGTTCAGGCTTCAGGATAATGATGTAACACTTAGGGAAAAAGATACAGCTTAATAATCCAGCACCAGATGCCAAGATAGAGAAGATCTCCACAGCCACCATATATTCTCCATTAGTGCCCTGATAGGAAGGAATGAAGGACAGCCACACACTGCAAAACACCAGCATGCTGAAAGTGATGAACTTGGCTTCATTGAAACTATCTGGCAACTTCCTGGCTATGAAAGCCACAGTGAAGCTGACAATAGCCAAAAATCCCAAGTAGCCCAGGACACAATAAAACATACCAACTGATCCTTCATTGCATCGCACTAGAATTGCTCCAGGGAGGGAATGCATATCAAAATCTGGGAAAGGAGGAGCTGTACATAGCCATACAGCACAAAAACTAGCCTGAATGAAGGAGCAACCAAATAGGATGAGAGTGGCCAATCTTCTCCCAACCCATTTCCTCATCCTAGATCCTGGCTTGGTGGCCGTAAAGGCTAGGACCACAGTGATTGTTTTTGCTAATATACAAGAAACAGCCACTGTGAAGATGATAACAAAAGTAATTTGTCGTAAATAGCAAGACACTATTTGTGGCTGGCCAATAAATAGCAAGGAGCAGAGAAAACAAAGCAATAAGGAGATGAGCAGAGAATAGGTGAGGTCCCGATTGTTGGCTTTGACAATGGGAGTGTTCTGGTTCTTGATGAAAACTCCTAGTATCAGAATTGTGAGTAGAACAAAAAAGAGAGCCAGAAATGCTAAGGTAATCCCCAAAGGATGCAGGTAAGAGAGAAAATGTAATCTCTTGGCAATACATTGACTTTTGTTCTCTTTTGGAAATTGATCTTCTGGGCACTGGAAACAGTTGTCCATGTCTAAAAAATCAATAAACAAATAAATATAAGCAGATATATAATGTAATGGAGTGAATGGCCATTTCTGCCAAGTTTTACATAGATACTTTATTTCAAATCTGGACAAAAATTGACAAGAAACAGAAATTAAGTGTGAAATGATAGAATATTAAGCATAGCTGATTCTATCTTCATACTTTTTGACACATACTACACTGAAATCAAGAACCTATTTATGTGATCTGCTACTTCTATGCAATAAAACAGCCTTCTTAGAAATTATATAGACATATATAATTTCTAAGAAGGTTGTTTTATTGTATAGAACTGAACTAGTGGGACAATAATACCTATGACAGATTATTATTCTTCACCCCTAACTATAGGGTGGAGTAGACATTAAAGACCATTAAGTGTTCTGTGTTCTAAGCTTCCTGCAGTCCGAGTTTCACTAGCAACATTAGTGATTTCTAATTATGGGTTGTAATAATTTGTTGCATTGAAGCAAAACTCTAAATCAAAGGAAAAGATATGTGCTTAAAAAAGGGATACAAAGTTCCTTTCACAACGTAATGCAAACCAGCTATATTTTCTCAAAAGACACAACCACTCCCTATGGTATTTCATAAGTATTTTGATACTTATGTAGTGGGAAATGTTGTCATTGCCAAATCTGCAAATGTTATACAGAGAAAGAAGTAATCAAGACATCCTTGATATCAAAACTTTTGACACCTAAATACCTCTTTCTAAGTGATAGATATATTGGAGAAAGAGAAAGATACTGTCCTATGCAAATATAAGTAAATATATGTGGAAGAAGAAATTCTTAATTTCTGCCACTGAACTGGAATTATCTGGTCAATTAGCTATTAGGCCCAGGAAAGCATGTGCCAGGAGGGAAGGAAAGCTGTCTTTTTGTCTTAGGATATCTATCTATCTATCTATCTATCTATCTATCTATCTATCTATCTATCTATCTATCTATCTATCTACCTACCTACCTACCTACCTACCTACTTACTCATCTATCTATCTACCTACCTACTTACCTACCTCTTTACCTACCTACCTTCTCTGTGATGGTGGTGCCTTGTTTTGGAGATTTATCAACATACTCTGATATCTGATAAATATTTTCTTTTCTGCAGATTCTAGAGAATGAAGACATGTTTTAATTGCTGGTGTGAATTGCTTCAATTTGAAATTCATAATACTGAATCTTATGTCTCCTACCCTTCTGGTCTGAAATCTTCCCATCTGGACATGGAATG